TTACATAAAGAAAGAGGAGAAAGGAAAGGAAAGTTCTGGTTAATGCTAATAAAACTTTTCCAAGACATCCAGAATTTTTAGCACAATTAGCAATATAAAATGTTCCTATTCTGACATCTAGCTTTTGAATCCGACTCATGGATTTTCCTCTGGTTTGTTATAGTCCAAGGGCTATACTTGGCTTAAGAGTATTTTTAAGATGAGAGAAACACAGTACTAGACATTTAACTCATATAGTTGTTATTTTAACATCCTATCCATCTTGTTTCAGTTATATGCTTCTATTTCTTGCTACTAAACACTGGTCATCTCAGGATACTTTACGAGTAAAAGAAGAATGAAGCTGAATTGTTGGAGTATTTTGAATCACAAACAGGCAAGGCACATATCAGAAAGCCAGCAAAAGGTCAAAGGATTACTTTATAATAACTCATATATAAAGTGGTTGGTGTCTTCTTCATTTATTTATTTATTTATATCTATATTTATAGTATTAACAGTCTACTATGACAAATAACTACAAATTACTGTAAAGCGGCAGCGGTCTTATTTACCTTCAGACATGTTAACTGAGACTGTAACTGGAAAATCAATGGTATCCAAACTAAGCCAAATAATGTTTTCAAATATTAGAAACCTACTTTCAATCTTTCACTGCTTGGAAATAGTAAACTTGAGAAATTATAATACATGCTGAAAAGCCACCAACACTACAATTAGATACACTAGCTGTAATGATAATAACTTTGTCCCTGCAGCAGTTAAATTATTTAGAGCCAAGGTACTAAGCCTTCTGCTGTATGGCACACAACCCTTTGCCTGTAAAGGTGTAAATAAAAATGTTTAAGAACTATGCTTTGCTTGTCTCAATCTGCCAAATTATCTTATATGGCTGAAAATTGATTACAAGGAGGCCCATATGAGAACTGGACATTCGAAATACAAGTTAGAACAACTTTTTCTGGGATCAAGCCCATGCAATCCTTACTGATAAATTAATCTCCTCTGGGAAAAATACCATAATACAATCTTTGATTTATCCTACTATAGCCTTTCACACCAATTCCTGATAATGCTTGGCAAGAGAAAGGTATTTTAAAGGTCAAACAGAGTCATGATTTGGATTTAAAGAAATATTCAAAGTTTCAAACAATTGTTACAAGGGCTTCCATATCAGACCTTTCACTATTTGTATTTTTCTAACATCCTCTCTGTCTTGTTCAGAAGCGCATTTATACTAGCAAGATTTATCCTCAAGGCTGTTGGAGGGAAAATTCAGTAACATCATATTATTATTAAGACAATAAGAGAGTTTTGTATATCATATATTACTGTGTTGCCCTCTGTGTGATACATGGTAGTCTGAGTTATATTTCTTAATCGTGTGTAGATTGGCATGAAATGGAGCTTCTACTAACAGACTAGAGTATCTAAATTTCTTTGAAAGTTATTAAATTGTGTTCAATTGTGACTGCTGTGAAGATACTGGTTTTAATTTATATTCAGGTTTGGATCTGGACTACCTAAGTTGGTCTATATAAAAAATCAATGTTTAGTGTTTACTATCACTAACATTCTAATATGTTAATTCTTCACTGCATTTATTATTTTTAATGTATATGATTTTTTTAATCTCTGTAAACTAATAAATACCTTTCTTTTTCCATTCTATGCAGTTAAGAGAGGTTTTAGTGATATTAATAATTGCCAAAGGAGATCATAGTTTTAACAGAAGCTTTAAAAAAGAGTTTATCAACAAACACTGCAATAGAAAAACTGAGCAACCACAAAATCATTGAATCTGTTCAGAACAGAAAAGTAATATAAGCCATGCTGGTCTTTATCACTGTAATAGCAGATTGGAGAAAATCACATGAAATTCATTCAACAGTGCTCTGGTTGTCTGAACACACTTCAAATCTTAGTTACATATATAACATGACAAGAATTTATTTTGGCCATGCTATCAATTTATACCTGTTGATTTATGTCTGGCTTAAATTTAATATGCAAAAAGAACAATTATATAGTAGGTTTCAGCTGATACACTTCTGTATCATAGGAAAACCACATTATGGCATCATTGTCTTTAAATCCCACTGCAACTGAAGAACAGTTTACAACACAGAGATGCACCAACTTTCATGCCTTTTGTGTAAAAAAGATGCTGAGACTCTAGAAAGAGTACAGAGAAGAGCAACAAAGATGATTAGGGGACTGGAGGCTAAAAAATATAAGGAACGGTTTTCTGGAATTGTGTATGTCTAGTTTAACGAAGAGGACGAGGGGGGACATGATAGCAGTATTCCAATATCTCAGGGGCTGCTACAAAGAAGAGGGAGTCAAGCTATTCTCCAAGGCACCTGAAGGCAGGACGAGAAGCAACGGATGGAAACTGATCAAGGAGAAAAGCAACTTAGAACTAAGGAGAAACTTCCTGACAGTTAGAACAATTAACCAATGGAACAATCTGCCTCCAGAAGCAGTGAATGCTCCAACACTGGAAGTTTTTAAGAAGAGACTGGACAGCCATTTGTCTGAAATGGTGTAGGGTTTCTGCCTGAGCAGGGGGTTGGACTCGATGACCTCCAAGGTCCCTTCCAACTTTATTATTATTATCATTATCATTATTATTACTGTTACTATTATTATTATTACATAGCTTGTCATCTGTATGTCAAATTCTTGCCCACATAAACATATATATTATGATACGTAGCTAACTATAATACTTTCAAAATTTGTTGTATTTAGTAGATTTGACTGCAGTCTCAAGAGAAAGATTGAGACTGAGGATCTCCATCAATTAATGAATACTAATAACTTCTTATAATTCAGAGCCCTAAAAAAACAAAAGCTATGCTTTGGAAATGTCTAAGATAAAACTCTAGAGTGCAAGACCTGCTTGTAATAATTTGCAAGAACTTGTAAATTGATATTCTGTGATCTAGCACTGCAAGTGAAATTAGAAACAGAAGTGACCTAGTAGGATAGTAGTAATCTCAAATTTAATAGATCTGTTCTTGAACTTGTGCTGTAATGGCAATGCATTTCTAACTTCAACACAATGCTACTCCTCTTGAAAAGGTTAGTCAGATTATGCATTCATCACAAATGCATGTTACTACTGAAAAGCAGAAAATTTAGATTAAATTTGGAGAATGTAACATCTTTGCCAGTACATTACACATTACAGTTATTTCATTTTTAAAATTAGAATAATGTACTCCCTGGTTTGTTCCACTGTGATATGCAAGTATCTACATAAATTACGATATTTAAATAAAAATAAGGAAAAAATTCCTCTAAAATACATTACTGTGCACCAATATTCAACAAATTGGGATTTAAGTCTGAGAATCACATTATCAACTAAATATCAGATCTCACATCAATGATTATTTTTACCTTAAATCTTGCATAGAATTGCACAGATTGGGTAATCCAATAAAATCTAAGTGCTATATTACATGCTATTTATTTCAAAATACAAAATAATGCCCAATAGAAGTGGAATATAGACATAAGATCCTGACAGGTAAATCCAGGATAAAAGGGATCCATAATTCCACTGTGATCAACTATTTATATGCTTTCATTGTACAAAATGATATAGTCTTTAATATAATGATACTCTCTACTAAAAAAAATCCTTAACCATTGATTAGGCTACAAGATAAAGATAAAAACAAAAAAAAATCACATCTAAAACTATTTCTTCTATGACCTTCAATTGCCTCATAATATGTAACCGGCATGGCAGTTTCTTAACAATGGATGACATTACTCAGACATGGTGAATTATCTAGGCCCATCTGAATGGCAACTTTCACTTTATTAGATTTCAGACTAGTTAAGCCTGTGATATTTCATTGTCCCTGGTTATGATAACTTAAGCAGGCCCTTAGATTCCTAGTAATAGATGTTCTATAGCTATATGCCATATCACTAAGAAGAACAGCATCCACTGTTTTATTGGCAACAACAGGGGGCATAACCCTTAAATGGGTGGTAAATGCTCTCCAGGTGGCAGTGGAGGAGACAGTCTTAAAAAGGGGGGGGGGGAAACTATCCTCCTCACTTGAATATCATACCATTGTATGCAGAATTATAAACAGGCAAGATATTAGCTGCAGAACCCAGCAACTTTTGAGTGCAGTCTGCTTTAAGGGAAAGAAATATTCCCCTTAAAGAGTTCCATTCTCTGGCACAATTAGATGTTTTGTACGCTTCAGGGTATTCTGGAGTTTCAGAGGGCAGGGCAGTTTTAAGAAAAGCCACATTTACAACAGACTTGTTTCCCACAATGTTGTTATGTTAAAGGAGAAGTCATTGAACTATAGGTGAAAACTGATGAATCTTTCTTAAGTGAATGTTCATCCCATATTTCTACCTGTCATCAGGTCAGGAGGTTGGCAATCCAAGGTATCAATAATATGCATTGTTTTTCTTAAAAAATAAAAAAAGCAGAGCTCCTACAGTTAAAATTCTTTTGAAGAAAAGGGATTCACGATTGTATTAGTGTTCTTTTTTCCTTAAAGAAAGAGAGGTTAAGACTAAGGGAGAGGCAGGCCACCTTGAGCAGACGAAAAGCAATTCTCTCCCCATCCTTGGAGTGGATGAGACGGAAGGCACGGGGATACTTCCCCCTCCCCTCAGTCTCACCTTCTCTTTCAGGTCAGGGGTCTTGGCCCTAGCCCTGCCCCGGGTCCCTGGAGGTCCCGCTCCCTCTTGGAGAGTGCCAGCTAAGCCTTTTAGTTGAGGAAAGTTGGAAGGAGAAGGAGGAGCGCTTCCAGGAAGCGGGGCGCTCTCTTCGGGCGGAGGAAGGCAGGACAGACGGATAAGTCTCCCAAGAACGGAGACCGCCGAAAGAGAAAGGAGAGGCGGCGGCCGCCAAGGGCCCCTCCCGGCTTCCCTCCTCATTGTGAGAAGCAGCTGCTTCTGCTCGCCTCTCTTCCCCGCCTCGGCCAAGCACAGCCCAGCCCCTCCGCCGCTCTCACCTCCGGTGCCGTCCGAGTTCTCATTGAGGCTGCCCGAAGAGTCGTGGTGAGAGCCCACACACCCGCCCATGGGGCCCGGCCGTCCCGGCCCGGAGACCCCCCCCTCCTCCGCCTGCTCGCCGCCCGAGCTTCTCCGTCGCTGTCGTCGTTGCCACCGGTCGGGCAGGCGCGCTGGCTGCCGAGCCACCGCCCCCTCCTCGTTGCGCTCGGCCCGGCCCCGCCTCGGCGCCGGCCTCCCGCGCTTCACTCGCCCTCCCTCCCCCCCTCCTCCTCCTCCTCCCCCCCCCATCCGGGCCGGCAGCGCGGTTTGCGAGCGCGGCAGCATCTGCGCCGAGCCAATCAGGCCTTCCTCCGCGCCGGAGGGGCTGCCCGGGGCCCGAGAGCCGCGCTCTCCAGGCAGCTCGAGGGCCTTTCCGGGCTCCCCGGCCGCCGCTACGCAGACCCCCTCCTGGCGGGAGGGCCTCCCTTTCTCTTTCCGAGAGAGAGACCCGGCGACGGGGGCTGCGCGCATGTCTGCCCCTCTCGCCAGACGCGGGGCGCCTTCTCGGCGGTCTGCTACCCCACGTCAGCTTTCCAAGCCGGGCCCTTCTCCGCTTCTCCCCTTTAAAGCGAAAGGCCACCCCCGCGAGAGCAGCAGGGCGTATTGCTGAGCCCTACCTTTTTACCATAGACACTGCTGGGAGGGGAAGCGCTTACTACCTGCTATGATGGCTCCCGTTGTCGCCGCATCCTTCTTCCCTCTCGTGCTCTGCTGCCCGGAGTTAATTGCAGCCAATATCAAATATGCAAGATTTCCATCTATACTGACCCCTCCTTTTAGGCATAAAAACAGAATTATTTGTGGAGAGCACAAAACAATTATTTGTGGAGAGCACCAAGGATTTCACAGTTCAAGCCTGAGCTTCATATATTGTTTCCTTATTACAATCATTTGCCCTGCTGCTTTTTCCCAAATATTTTTTACTGGAGGTGATGCAGATACCTGTTTAAAAACAGAACAAGACTGTTTACCTACTCAAAACAGCAGTTATGGTCAGGCCTGTCGTTATCATTTGTTGCTTCCTTGGAAACCTTGCTTTAAAAGGGCTGCATATATATTTAAATAAGATGGGTGTCTGAAGTCAGCAGGGATATTTATAGGTTTAAATCCCTGACTTTAAATGGACAGATGCATATCAGCCCAAAATACAAAATAAATAAATAAATAAATAAAAATGGAAAGATAGCCTATAAATATTCACAAAATTTTCATCTTTTACTCCACTTGGGACATGTTTACATGGTATCCTTTCCACCCTGCAGTTAGTCCAAACCATTTTAAAGCCAGCTCTGAATATCTCCCTCTATCATGATGTCTCTGAATGATGAAAATCTTGAAGCCAGTGTGAGCCAAGCTCTGCTTTGGAGGAGAGGAGAGTACAAAAATTGGCATTCGGGATGTCAAGAATAAAGTGCAACCAAGAGGAGACTGCAAAAATTGGCATTCAGTGAACACTGTGCTATCTGAGCTGGGGTACATTCATTTCCTAAAAGTAAAACATTCTAGATCTCTGACCTCCAGAGATCTTGTCCAGGCCACAGGCAGAACTTTCTGGATCTCAAGGCAAACTGCCAGATGAGTTCTCCCAAGGGTAAGAGTGCTCAGGCACTAAGTCCCACTATCCAAGTCCAGAGCAGGTAAGAGAAAGGAAGGAAGAGGGTTACATACAGTGGTGGGATTCAGCTGGTTCGCACCACATCGGCAGAACCAGTAGCTAATTTTTTGTTGCCCGGGCCCAGAATGGACTTCCGGAAGTGGCATCCACACAGAGAACCGGTTGTTCATATATTTGAATCCCACCACTGGTTACATAGCTGTCTTTTTCCTATTGTAGAAATAGACCTTACCTCCAAAACCTCCTGGCTTTGCACAAATTTGTCGTATTTCCAAGTATGGCTGTGATTTCTCTCTTATCTTTTCTGCTGCTTCTCTACTACAGCAATTGGAGCTCTGCACGTAGAAGCTGTTTTGTTAAAGATGCAGGGCAAAGGGATTCTAAGACGTACCCCACTTGTCTTTATTCTTGATATAGCCCTGTATGTGTTAAGATGCAATGTAATGGATAAAAGGAATCATTTTTGAGAAACAAAATGAAAGTCTGCAACTAAGATAGTGATCAGGTAAAAGAAATTTAAGTCTGGAGCAGAACTGTAACTGCAAGATTCTGTTATATCCTTACAGTAAAAGTAGTATTGGTTTGAGTGTCTTTGGCTTTCACGTTTGATGTACCTTGGAAGGCTGACATGCCTCAGGAACACCTTGATACTGTTTTGTTGAATTTTAAAAAAGCTTCTGAAGGCATACACAACGTACTAGCAATACTAATAATAGCAGTTAGACTTATATACTGCTTTATAGTGCTTTATGGCCGTCTCTAAGTGGTTTACAGAGTCAGCATATTGCCCTCCAAAGTCTGGATCTTCATTTTACAGACCTCGGAAGGACACAGGGCTGAGTCAACCTTGAGCCGGTCAGAATCAAACTTCTGGCAGTGGGCAAAGCCTGAAATACTGCATTCTAACCACTGTACCACCATGGCTCCCTAGTGATTCTGAATCCCAGTGTTTCTTTCAGTAGTTTTCAATATGATTGCAGGTGGCCAGAGAGGGATAAGAAGACTCAAGAAATGGAAAGCAAATCTTCTTTGGGGTGGGAGGGAGAAAAGAATTAAGATTCTGTAGTCCAGCAGTTGGTTGACAGGGCAAGTCAAGACATTCTTTCAATAAGCAAATCATCCTCAAGTACCACCAGCCTCTGCAGAAAAATCTTATGCTTTTCCAGTTTCAGATGACTGGCACATAGCCAGAAAAAAGTTAATTAAACTCTTCAAACTAGCCAATACCATCTGATTAGGCAACTCCAGAACCGACTTTGCGCTGGCACAAACCTATTATGCAGCAATGTCTCCATGCAAAATCAGACAGTCTCCCTCATTTTGTTGCATGATTTTACTTAATTTATTCTAGCCATGAGTAAACACTTATAAGTCATCAAGGGCACTGGCTTAAAAATATATTGTTTTCCTCTTTAAGCTGGATTCTCCTGTCATAAGTTCAAATGTCTAAAATCTGTAATGATTTTGTACCTGTGATCTTGGATACAAAGTCAGGGGCTGTATTCTGAGTGTAAACAGAAGTGTCCCTTCCTTCCTTCCTTCCTTCCTTCCTTCCTTCCTTCCTTCCTTCCTTCCTTCCTTCCTTCCTTCCTTCCTTCCTTTCTCTTAACTCCAAGCCAATTCTGGGAGTGTGGGCAAGCCACCTTTCTCATCAGCTAGCTTCTTGTGTAGCCATTCCTCAGCTGTGTGTCTTCTTTGTTACACCGTGTTTCTGAGTTTCTTTCAGACCCATTATCCCACCCATTATATTTTTGAAGCAGGAAAAAAAGTAGTTTCTTCTTCCTATTTTATCTGAAGACGAAGAGGGGACATATTAGCATAATTTTACATTAACAGTGCTTTGAAATGGCATCTCAGAAAGTCATTATAGCATCTTTAGCTGTAGCAGCCCCATTTTAATTCAGTGCAGTATCTGGAAAATAATAAGAAATGTCACATTAGGAGTTTCTTACTTCTTTGCTAGTTTCTTTGTTATTTCTCCTCCCATCATCATTTTCAAAGAAGACCAGCATCAAATCAGTTTCAACTATTGATTTATTGTACTTCAATCATTGCACATTTGTGGGTCAGGCTGCCTCTATTTCTGTTTGGGTGTCTTCTCTCCTTTTAAAATTCCATTACAGAGAATCCCAGAGAGATTTAGGTCAGATTTCAGGCAACATTGTCCCCTCAATGTTTCCCACATTAACTGGTTACATTTATTCATTCCTTTATTTATTCAAAACATTTATATACCCCACTGTTACTTGAAATAGAGCAAGAAAGGAACAATATGGATCAGCAATGGGTGCAGCAAACTTTTAAGGTGTTATTGTTTTGTGTTGTCTCCAGTTGGCTAGATAAGACTTCAACTCAGTTGATGAATGGGGGAAATTCATAAAATCATTGCTTTGGAAGGGGATATTAAAGCTATTGAATCTATTGTCTGGAGTTTAGTCTGTATTATTACACAGACAGATAGCTATCCAGTTTGAATAGAACCAGTGAAAGGAAATTTATCATCTCCCTTGGGGTCAAACATTTGCAATCAAAATCTACCTTCCTCTAAACGCACCATTCTGTATTGTACACTCTGAAATGATAAGAGAACAGGTCTTGACCTACTGTCTGTGACACTCTTTCAGATGGTAGAAAAGTGCTTATTATATCCCTTCCCTTGTCTTTTCTGAAGATTCAATTTCCAGATCCTTCCATTTTTCTTCATAGGTTTTAGTTTTTAGATCCCTGAACATACCTATTGCTGTTTCTGGCATCTCTTCCAATCGCACTGAATCAGTCTGAAAACATGATGCCCAGAAGCTGGACACAGTATTCAAATAGGGGGGGGGGGAGAGAAAAAAGAAGAAGAAGAAGAAGAAGAAGAAGAAGAAGAAGAAGAAGAAGAAGAAGAAGAAGAAGAAGAAGAAGAGGAAGAGGAAGAGGAAGAGGAGGAGGAAGAGGAGGAGGAGGAGGAGGAGGAGGAGGAGGAGGAGGATTAAATTTGTAAAGGCAGAACATAGTGTAAATTGGAAAAGATGATGCAGCTAAAATTGTGTTTTGTCTTATCAGCTACCTCATTGCATGTGATCATTGCTTAAACATTCAAGTTGCTTTTTAATATGTTTATTTCCTTATTTGTTGAGTACACCGACAACCTTCTCTTGTTTCTGCACATTTAATTTCTGTCTTCTGAGTGAAGGACTTTGCATTTGTTTGTACTGCCTCACTAATAACTGTAGAACTGAGTTCAGAGATCAAGGACCTGAAAAAAAAAAAAAAAGGAATGGTATTTGAAACTACATGTTTACATAATGCCCATATATGTTTATAAAGAGAATATATTGGATTCAGTTTTGTCTATGGGAGTAGTAGATTTTTTATGAAGCTCACTTGTTAGCATATTATATATTAAGATTTCTGATAAAACTGATGGCATAAATTTACCACTGTGGAAACTGGGCAGCAAGCTCTTTAGATTGTCTTGGCATCTGGCTCCTGATAGTTTAT